ATCCATGGCCTCGTCTTTCCAGTATTGTAATCTCCTGCAGCCCCACAACTCTCCAAGATATCTCTGCTCATATTATTTACACTACTGAGGTGGCCGTGTCTTCAGTTGTCTAGACCATGAGCTCTAGAATCAATTCCAACACATCTTTGAAAATAACCTCATTTTCTCCTTTAAGGCACTCCTTAATACCTCTTTCACTAAGTTTTGGGTCAGCTGTACTAATAATGTAGCTTAGCACCATATTTTGTTTAATAACACTCGTGTGAAGTGCGTTGAGACACTTTATCACCCAAATTATGCTAAATAAATACAAGGTGGTGGTGAGCTACCTTCTTGAAATGCTGTAATCCATTTGGTGTTGGTACACCCAAAATGCCATTAGGGAGGGAGTTCCAGGATTTTGACCCAGTAACAGTGAAGGAGCAGTGATATATTTCCAAGTCTGGATGGTGAGTGGCTGAGAGGGTAGGTAGTGGTATTCTACATTCCCTGTAACTTTCTTTTCCACTGCATAGACCTCCAAGGTCTATGCGATTTACTTTCTCATTCCTTGCAGTTTTTACCTTACCCATGCCAAACAACCATTATCCACACCAATTTCACAGGCTTCAATTTATTCATATCACAGATGATTGAATAACAGGTAATTAAAAGAATGTTTGATTTGGATTGACATGTCATTTTAGTTTTCTTTTATCAAAATTGCTACCCAGTTTGGGAAGCCCTATTCTATTCCTTTCACACATATGTTTTTCTTCTTAAATGCATCTTTAATTGCCTCAATACTTCCTGAAAGAACAATACTTCCACATTCTAACAGGTCAGTTAGCTGGTTTGTAATCCTGAGTGTTGCCAATTTTGTAGGTTCAATTCCCACACTAACTGAGGTTACCATGAAGTACTCTCCTTCCCAACAAGTTCTGAGGAAAGGTCACCGGACCCGAAACGTTAACTCTGTTTTTTTCCTTCACAGATGCTGCCAGACCTGCTGAGCTTTTCCAGCAACTTTGTTCCTGATTTACAGTATCTGCAGTTCTTTTGGTTTTTACTCTCCTTCTCAGCCTCTCCAATCACCTAAGGTGTGGTGACGCTCAGGTTAAACCACCAGCATTTGTCTCTCTCTAATGAGACAGCAGACTTCGGGAATTATGATCACTTTACCTACTGTCTGAATGAAGAAGTATCTCCTTTCCTCTTTAATTCACTATTTGAATTAAAGGCCCAACAGCAGTACAGGTTTCAAAAGATCAGTTTATATATTTTTCTGTTTTGAACATTGTTAATTAAACATGTGACATAACTCAGCAAGGAAAGTCTATTTTGCCTCTGGGATCACACAACCATTCAATCAGCATGGCTTTCTTTAAGCACCATGGCTATGAGAAAGCTCACTTTGTTGAAGTTTTGTTTGTTAATTCACAATCATAAGCAACTCTGAACTCTAAAATACTATTCTGGATCTTTAAAGCTGATTCTTGTTTTCACTTCTTTCAAAAATGTCAAGGTTTTGGAGAGGGAGCAGCACAGTTCCATTACAACGGGACCAGAGAAGAGGGCCTTCAACTTCAATGGGAAGACTAAAGGAATTGGGATACTTCCTCTGGAGCAGAAAAGGCAAGCAAGATTAAATATTTAACATAGGTGTTCAAAATTTTGAAGTATTTGGGAGTACCTGTCCAATAGCAGGAGGAAGGTAATCAGAGAATACTTACTGTTACTCATTCAGGGATATGGGTGTCGCTAGCTGGGCCAGCACTTATTATTCGTCCCCATTTGCCCTTGAGAAGGTGGTGGTGAGCTGCCTTCTTGAAATGCTGCAATCCATTTGCTGTTGGTACACCCAAAATTCCATTAGGGAGAGAGTTCCAGGATTTTGACCCAGTAACAGTGAAGGAACAATGATATATTTCCAAGTCTGGATGGTGAGTGTCAGAGAGGGCAGGTGGTGGTATTCTATATTCCCTGTAATTTTCTTTTCCACTGCGCAGACCTCCAAGGTCTATGTGTGCCTGCAGCTTCCAGAACTGGAAATCAATGTAGCAGCATACTGATCAGCATGCGTGAAACCTCAGAGTGGCTTGCCTAGAGGAAACAATGGTGTTTCCATTTACTTGGGGCCCTTGTCCTTCTAGATGGTAGTGGGTGTAGGCACGGATTTGAAAAGTCCTATCTAAGGATCCTTGGTGAATTTCTGCAGTGCATCTTGCAGATGGTATATGTTGCTGCTACTGAATATTGTTAGTGGAAGAAGTAAATGTTTGTAGATGTGGTGCCACAGAATGAGCTGCTTTGTCTTGGATGGTGTCAAGCTGCTTGAACGTTGTTGGAACTTGATTCATCAGGACAAGTTGGGAGGATTCCATCATATTCCTGACTTGTGCTTTGTCATGGCAGCCAGGCTTTAGGAATCAGGACAAGTTACTCACTGTGGGATTCCGAACTTTTGACTCAGTGTTTTTATGCTTACTAAGCAGTTTTGATCAATGGTAATCCTCAGAATATTGACAGTAGGGAATTCAGTGATGATAACATTGTTGAAGGGCAATGGTCGAAAGTGGTCACTGCATTGCATCTGTGTGGCGCGAATATCGCTTGTCACTTGTCAGTCTAAACCTGGATATTGTTCAAGTCTTGCTGCATCTGAACATGGAGAGCACAGTATCTGAGATGTCATGAATGGTTCTGAACATTGTGCGTCATCAACAAACATCCCCACATCTGACCTTATGATGGAGGAAAGGTAATTGATGGAGCAGCAAAAGATGGTTTGACGGAGGACCACTTCCCTGAGGAACTCTTGTTGAGATGGAAGCAAAATACTATGGATACTGGCAATCTGCAACATGCTCAGAAAATGCTGGAGAAACTCAGCCAGTCTGGCAGCATCTGTGAAGAGAGAAATAGAGTTAGCATTTGAGTCCAGTATGACTTCTTCATACTAGTTGAGTTTCTACAGTATTTACAGCATCTTTTTTGTAAAGATGTCAGAGCAGAGTGACTTGACCTCCAGCTACCATAGAAATAACTAATTATATTGTAAGAATTGGCAAAAGACCTAGGGGATATAAAGGAGAATTTTTTTTACTTAATAAGTTGTGTTATCTGAAATGTGTTGATGGTTGATGCTGATTCAACGGTAACTTCCATAAGGGAACTGCATAAAAAGTTGAAAACGGGAGAAAATAGGGAAAAGGCAGGGAGTAGATATAATTGGTAACTTTTTGCAAAGAACAGGCACAAGCATGCTGGACTGTTCAGCAACTTTTTCTGCTGTATGAGTCTATAATTAATATATATACTGACAACTGATGGTCCAGATGGAGATTGCAGTAGTTTAGCAGATTCTGAGTTATACAACTGCAGTTGCCATCTTGGTAATTAAGAAAGGTTACCAGAGAGTAAACTTCCACTTGGCTTGCAAAGAAATTAAACTTTGAAAATCAGATTGTGAAACAATGGGCTGAATTTTCCCAGCCTCTGAATGATGTGAAGAATGGTAAGACAGTTGGGAAAATATAGCTAGATTGGAATAATGAGATTCTTGATACTGAGGAAAAAAAAAAGTCTGATATTTTATCCAAAGTGTGAACTGTGACTAATTCAAGGCTGTCATCCGTTATCAATCCAAGAGTTGGACACAGTCAGATGGGCACTTTGGGCAGACAGGGTCAGGGATTCTGCATCATTACAGTCTGGGAATGGGACAACATCAGGCCTGCAGGTCCAGTGCAACTGAACAGTAAATTTGCGGTTAGTAAGGAGCTTCACTGAGATGAGACAGAGGACTGGTCCATCATCAGTTGGAGCTGTCTTTCCAAAGTTTTTATGGTGGGGGGGGAGGGAACAGTCAGTCTCGACTAATGACAAAGATGTTATGTTTTGCTGGGCATGAGGGAAAATGTAACACTCCCTTAGACAGGGTTCAAATGTGGTATAGCACAAAGAATCATAGCCTGTGTAGCTTGATTCTTGCAGTTTGCAGCTACTGTAATAGTTGATCAGATAGGTAATGATATAAAGTGAAAATACATTTACAAATGTGAGCTTCTATTTGTTATGAAGAGTCATCTGTACCACCAATGTGCCTTCAGAGATTTTCTTCTAAATTTCCCTCCCGCCATGTACACTGTGAAAGTCTATTCCTGGCTGGCAGCAATTAACCTGGCACACAGCTAGGCTTTAAATTTGGCGCAGTGGCAGAAATCCTGGAATATCCCGGCAATGATGAGTACTTCTGCAACTGGTGAACACAACTGTGGTGCCGTAAAGGTGAAGTGCATCCATACTTAACGTGAGCAAAGGAGAATTGTGTGGGATAATGTGCTAGAGCTCACGGAGAGTTGACACTTAACAGATATTTGTTAAAATTCAAAAGAAGAAACAAGTGAGAAGATTTTTTTAAAAAATGAATTCATAGGATGTGGGTGTCATTTGCTAAGCGAGCATTTATTGCCCAGCATCTCTAATTGCCCTTGAGAAGGTGTCGGTGAACCACTTTCATGATCCGCTGCAGTCCTTGTGGTGTAGATGCACTTGCAATGCACTGTGGAAACAATTTTGATCGAGAGACAGTAAAGAAACAAATGATATTGTGGCAAGTCAGGATCATGTGTGGCTTGGAAGGGAACTTGCATGTGGTGGTGCTCCCAGCTATCTTCTGCAGTTGACCTTCTAGATGGTAAACGTTGCAGGTTTTGAAGATGCTGTTGAAGGACGCTGGGTGAGTTGCACATCTTGTTTACGATATTGTGAATTTACCCACTTTTTGCCAGATAAACCCCTGCCAAGCACCTTGGCATGTTTTTTAGTTTTATGAAAATATTATACAAATACAAATAATTGTTTCTCTCATGGACAATGTTGGCAAAACAATGTCTTTGTTTAGAGACAGTTGCTCAGCATTAGCACAGTAACTAAGACACCCCCTCCCTCAACCAACTGTACCAAGAAACGATTCATTCCTGCAAACTAATTAAAAGATATGTATCAAATGTACTCACTAAACATTAAAGATTCAATCATATCCATGGTAGCCCGTGCGAAGACCTTTTCAATAGCCTGTAGAAAATTCCACCTGCTTTCACTGCTGGGTATCACCTTGCAGATTCTGTGAACCATCTTCACAGTCCAGTCCATGCAATACCCATCCTTTTCACATACCTGCACCCAAAATTTAAAGGACTGTAAGTGTTAGTATCTACAACAAGAACAAGGGCAAGAAGTAAAATCTCCATTTGCAACTGAAAACAGAAAATCCTGAAAATGCACTCTAGGCCACTCAGCATCTGAAACAGAAAGATAGAATTAACATTCTAAATGTGACCCTTCTTCAGTGTTAGAAGCAAATTAGAGGTCAGAGGTGAAGTAAAGCTACCTCCCCTCTGCCCCAACAATATGTCATAAACCCATTCATAGAAGAATATCACCTGAAGCAAAAGTCTGCATTTCAACTCCCATTCTCAATCAGCTCACTTTACAGTCGCTCCCAGTACAACCCAATATTATTTATTTGAGGACATTTTGTGCTGAGCCCCTAGTAGGATTTCTTCAAAGTCATTCCATATTGAGGATACACAATCAGCAGTGAAAGATAAATTTTGTCCCATTAATTTTAGACATAACAAACTCAAATTCACATGATAAATTTATGATTTTTTTAAAACTCCTAACACACATACATGTCACAATTTGGATTGGAGCTGTGAAACTAACTTTCCACTCACTTTTTAATTTTCATAATCTCTCTTAATAACCATCTCCATTCCATCTCACCAAAAGGTCTTAATCCTCTTTATTAAGACACATATCATGGAAACATATCAGCTTAGTTAAACATACAACTTCCAATTGCCTAAGGATGCCTAAATGTAACAGACATTTTCTCTCATGTCTAATACAATCTAATTCAGTTAATTTTATTCTACTCACCAAAGACAGGAACACAATGAGTGTGGCAAGTTCATTGAGCCTCCCATTTACAGCTTTATTGGCCAGGAATGTAAAGCACATGTTATTCCCACAACAAATCAGAAGACGAGCACTGTTCTCCAAAAGCCATTCTTGAGGAAACCCTGGAATAGATGCACACTATATCACCATCCTCTTTTAAATTATTCCAAATTTCTCCTCTTTATAGGTCTCTTTTCCTTAAGGCATGAACTCCTGTTGGGATTATATTTTTATGTGCACCAGCAGATGCTCAGTACCTTGCCCAAGTGATCACTTCTCATACATGAGGTTGGACAATGAATTTGAGAAGACTATTCAACTCTATGGGCTTCATATCCAGGCTCCATTCTATCTTTGCCTGAAGTGCAGCCATCCAGTGTTTTCAGAAATCACTAGATATCTCATGGTCTGAAATCTGAGCTTTTTTTTTTTTACCTTTCTCAATCAAAACCTGTCAAAGTCAATTGTAAGTAACAATCTCTACTGACAAAATCAAAACCACCTAACATAGCACATAAAATTAAAAAAGCCCGAGACCTACTCATTACCAGTACATGTAATATATTTCTGTTCTGAAATCAGGCCAGCACACAGACAATCCTTCTAATTACTAGAATACACTGTGCAAAGTTAAAGTGCCATGTAAAACTAGACATTATATAGAACAGAGGATACATCGCCTAAACTTCTAACAACAACATTCCATGTTTCGTTTTCGATACATTAGAAAACAAACTGCCGGGTTACCAACATGAGCTGAAGATCAGAATAAGAATTACAGACATGGATGATCAGATTCTCTACAGAGTATTATGGTCCCTGTGCTGCTGGGATTATAGAAATGTCAACCATAAACTTTATCTCCAGGATGCCTTTAAGCTCAGTTTCTTCAGTTCATGTCATTCAATTTGTTTTCCCCTCAGTAACTCTTAACTCTCCACCACAGCATTTCTTTCCTCTCTCTATTTTACTTTTAACATCAAGCTGCGTTGTTCTGAATTAATTTATTTTACTTTTTCTAAGCGTGGAATTATTAAATATCTTCTCACTCAATCCTACAATAAGATTTTTTTTTCAAACAAAACAGAGTGTCACCATAATCATCTGTTAGTTTTATTCAAGCTTCCCAGGACTTCAAAATGTGGGATTCATTATATTTCAGTCTTTCCCTTCTCTTACAATTTTCAGGATTTTTACAAAGGTCAGTTACCTGCTAATTCTTCCAACAGGGTGAAAATGTCATCAGCCGTCCATTCCTTGGCATTTTCATGCAGCAATCTAACTGCTGCTGCAAGACCCTTTATGCTGTCCTCACTTGCAGGTAACTGGGTCATATGATGCCAGTGGATCTGACCTGAAAAAGAAACAAGGACAAACAACAACATTTTGCATGTATAAAGGACATTAAAATTAGTAGATGCCATAAGACTTATCAAACGCAGGAAAGTGAATATTAAAAAAAGTCATATCAGCCATGATCCTATTGAACGGTGGAGCAGGTCCAAGGGCCAAATGGCCTACTCCTGTTCCTATTTCTTATGGTCTTATAGAAAAATAATTGCTAACTACAAGATGAAGAACTGTGCATAACACTATCCAAGCCAAATATTCACTTTCATTACAGAATTATAGAACTATACAGTGCAGTAAGAGGACACATGGCCCCTGAAGTGGGTGACAACTCTTTTGAAAAACATTCCAGTTAATCTACTCCTCTGCCCTTTTTCCATATTCCTACTAATCCTCTCTCGTTTATCTAATTTGCTTTAGAATGCTATTATTGAATCTGTTCCAGTGCATTCCAAATTCATGCCATTCTGCTCAAAATAAAACATTTTTCCCCAAGTTATTTCTAACTCTTTTACCAATACTTTAATTTACACTACATAAACCCTTCACAATTTTAAATACTTCCCTCAAATATCCTCTTAGCCTTTCCCAGTCCAAGGACAGCAATCCCAGCTCCTCCGATTTTACCATGCAACTGTAATCTCTAATCACTTGAACCATTCCAGCAAACTTCTCCAAATCCTTCATATTCATCCCAGAACTGGACCACTGCAACTAGAGCCAAACCTTTAGTTTAAGCAAAAAAGTACTGATTCTTGCTGATATAGTGCCAGCGATTGTACTTGTCTTGTTGTATCTCACTCAACAGGCTATAAAAGGAACGTTCTGTGACATCCACCACTATTAATACACTTACTGACAAGATTTACACAAGAAGAGTTATCATTTGAGTGAGGTATTAGAAAGCTGTCTGCACAATGACACAATGCTTCAGCCGGAGTCCGCCACTTACAAAATTGATGAGAAAACGAATTTTTTAAAAAATAGCATACAGTATTAAATTGCCTAACCATTCCATGCTAGCCCTTACCATCACTGAGAGACATAGGACCATAGAGTAAGTACAGCAATCTTGCTTGGTTCACCATCGGCCATGGCTTAAGGATGCGAGTCAGCCAGAAAGCTATATCGCATTGGTGCTCCCAATGATCCAAAAGAACCCGTCGGTAATACAAACGGATCTGTAGCTCTAGCTTTCTAGTCGCACCTATTTCAAGTACAACACAAAAACTGTTGTAGAAATTCTATAAATCCCAAGACCATGATGCATTATTTGTGGAATTTAGATTACCAGAATAAATATTTATGCACTATTAAATCTTGTCCTTCTAACTGAAAAGCACTATGCGGATTTGTTGAAGGTGGGGTGTGGACAAAAAGACAGAGGAACAAGATATTGGAGATTAAACGTTGACACAAGGAGGCCTGCATATTCTCTGTATAAAGCTGATACAACTACAGATAGAATTTTTTGGGCTTGCCTGGAGCTTTTAGAATATCAGGTGAGAGAACTTCGTTGGGCTGGAAGAAACAAATTCAGTGAGTTAATTTTTGCTATCAAGGTCTCAGAACCTTTCAGGCTGGTTGGTTCTGCTGACTTTTAAGGTTACGAACCTCTTTTGCATTCGTTCGGATGCAAAAATTCCAACAACAGCCAAATTCACTGGAATTACGTTATTGGGTGCAACTTCTTCACTAAAAATGGGAAAAAGCACTATTCACAAACCCAAACATACATATGAGGCATTTATCTGATGGGGCAGAATTCTTCGTCCAATAAACACTTACATGTATGTAAGCATAAGGGTTAAATGCTGAATGGGGCATTAGCCTGCACAAGCAAGTGAGCCAATTTGACTGACAGTAGAAAACTTGGGGATTTACAATGAAGAGTGCTCTACTGAAAAGGGAACTCAACATAACACGTGGCTAGGTGGAAAGGAACTGTAGGGAATTGAATTTCAAATGCGGGTTTATGGAAGGACCCTGAGGAATGTAGGGAGCTAATTAGGATGTAAAGGGAAAGTCACAGTGATACAGGCAAGGGGAACACAGGAAAGTGAGAACTGCATATTAAGATGTACAGAAGATTGAAAATCAATGCACACAAAGTGACTTCTATTTCTTTCATTTTGTTTTGTACCATTACATGTTGGTGCCAATTCAGCAGCCACTGTTGAGTTTAAGGAAGCCTGCTGACCTACTTTGCCATCATGCCACAAATGACTGTGACATGTTCTCTGGGGATCCAAAGCCTAGAGGACCCCAGCGTGCTGTAGGTCTCCTGTGCAGGTGCAACGTCTATTGCCTGACCTGACAGAGGTGTTTGGGTTACTGGCAGAAGTAATGTGGTGCAGTCAGCACCTCTGGAATGTCCTGAGATAACAAATCCTGGATGTCTGATTGTCATTTCTCCATGTTGTCATAGCGGTACCTCTCTGCTAGGCACCTGGAGGGAGGTCAAGATCCCTGCCCCTGTCTCACCTGGCTGTTCTAAGAATGTATCCATGGTTTGACACAAGCTTTGTACAACAATCCTGTAATCTTTTCCAATCTTTTAAGGCTTCTGACTATTTAGATTTTCCCTGTAGACTACCTTAGCGGGTAGTAATCACCCCAGACGCTCACATGCACGTCATGTGCTAAAGTACAAACAGCACTGAGTTCCTCACTCACTGCTGTAATCTGAGAGGAACATAATCTTAGGAAAGCAAGATAGTTAAGTTTTGGGAGACTGTTGACACAATTTAGCCCCTTTACATCATTTCAGTGATAGATGTTTCCATGCTGTATGACTTTATGACTCTCTGAATACCTCTTACAAATGAAATGTTGAGCCATCTAAGTACGGTGCCCATGTAATCCTGCATAACTCCATATCGACACTTTGGTCAGAAAACTCAACAGAAGGTTATTGCAGAAAGGAGAACAAATTAACTTAAAACTTACACCAAAAGAGTAGTTTAATGTTTTAAAGTTATAAACCAAGCATTCTCTTGAAGGCAGTTCTTAACGTCCACATATTTAATGCAAAGTCATTTGATCTTATATCTAAGCACTGTCAGGTTCTCTTGGGCCTGTCTGCCTTATCTAACTATTGCCTGAGCTTCCTCAACATCAACTTGGACTCCCTCCTCATCTGAGGAGAATGATAGCCGGTTCATCATCCCCTCTCCTAAGTTCTCACCCCATCATTAAGCTAGGTTGTGCAAAACACAGTAAACAATCACTACTCTGGAAACCCCTGTACAATGTGTATTTGAGTGCTCCTGCTGAGTAGACCTGACAATGGAAATGTACCTTTAGAAGACAAAATTATCTTTTCACTGATGACCCCTGTGGATTTATGGACAATACTACAATGCTGTTCGGAATCAAAATGAGGATTTTGCATTGGGGTCATCAGCCATGTCTTTTGAAGTATCGCCTGTTACCACCAACTAGCCCAAGGGGAGATGATGAGGAAAAGCAGAAATTCACAGAACCTGAGAACGTGCAAATAGTAGGCATTATGATAACTCCCTGGATACTCAGTGCACACCTGCAGGAATTGCTGCCTTTGGTTGCAAATAAGCTGGACACAGAGGTTTAAATCCTTTCCTTTTCAGGATGCTGGCTAAACGATGCCATAAAGCTCTAAGCACCTCATGTGCAGTCAATATCCTGTTGTACATAAGAATTTCCAATCAGGGTACCACGTTCAGGTCAATCCCGGTCAATCCCGGTTTCCCTGCTCCAGTAATCCACCATCAATCCGGGACAGCCTCAAAAGTCCACCTGTGATGCTTCCGATTACAGACATTCCCTGGGTTGCGAATGGGTACCATTTTGGAGTCTGTTCACAAGTTGATTTGTACACAATTTGGAACACAACGCACCTCAATATAAAGGAGCCCTTCATAAGTACAGGAAATGTTCATTGTTTCAGATCTTTAAAATTACACCCCTTTATGAGATAGCATTCATAAGTACGAGCACTTGTACGTCAGATATTTGTAAACCAGAGACCTCCTGTACAGAAAACATACATTCTCACCTTTGTCAAATCATAGTATCCAGGAAGCTTGTCTATCTGGAATTGCTCTGATTTAACTTCTAATAGTTAACACAGCTACATTAAGCTTCTTAAGTTGCAGTAAGTATTATTATTGAAGTCTCTGACAATGTTGTATTAATATAGCCTTTGCCAGTATATTGACCGCTTATTGGTAGAGGCATGTGATCCTGAAGTCATGTATTACATGGCACTCATTAAAACTGGCCTAACAATAATCTCTTGGGCCTGTGAATGCCAGAAGTCTTCAACTTGCACAACTGTTGCCCACTCTTGCAAACAAGAAACAGTGACTTCCAATTTGTGATTATACAGCCTTAATGTAATATGAAATTTGAATATGGATAACCCAAAGATCACGAAGCAACAATTCTTTATTCTCCTGGTATCAAATCATTACAAACAGGAAGCAAAATGAAGGATATAAACAAGGTACTATTTAAATTATGTACAGAGCATACCGTGTAGGTTACATTGAGGTGAGGAATTCCTTTGTCTGTCTGAGCTCCTTTCGTATCAGCCCTTGTTACCGAAGTCACATTTTCTTTTCTGGCAAGAATCAATTTGACTGTTCCAGGTGCACACTCACCACCGCCTCCCACCCACCGCCCCACCCCACATGCTGGAGGAGATCCCAGAAAACTGCTCAGCTCCCTTGCTCAGTGCCCTCCATCATTGTCCTCTTCTGCTGCTGGAGGTCCCATTACACACTTTCCTGCTTGAAACTGGCAACTGGAAAAAGCAGACTGTGACCATCCATTAAGTAGTTGCATGATTAACTGGTTCAATAGTTCCACAACGGCTAGAAGGTCATGCAGAACAAATCTAGTAGTATTTGTCAAGGAGGTGACAAAGTGGACATGGGTATGGCAGTTGATCTGGTTTATGTAAATTTCAGCAAGGCCTTTGACAGGATTCCACATGGAAAACTGATAAGAAGTAAAAGCTCATGGGATCCAGGATAATTTGGGTAGTTGAAGCTAAAATTGGCTTAGTGACAGGAAACAGAGGATGATGGTAGATGTGACTGGAGCCCAATGTGCAGTGGTATAGGATCAGTGCGGGCCCCTAATTGTTGATGATATTCATAAATGATATAAATGAGAATATGGGTGGGATGATAAGTAAGTTTGTTGAAGACACGAAGATTGGCTGGGTGGTTGACAGTGGGGAGGAAGATTACAGGAGGATATAAATGGATTGGTCAGGTCAGTGGCAGATGGAACTTAACCCTGATAAATGTGAGGAGATGCACTTTGGAAGAAAGCACAAGACTCAAAGAGAGTGTCTGTTTTCCAGTAGTTATCCAAGTGTCAAAAACCTCGACTGTTTCTTCCTCCTTGTGCTGAGGGCCCTAATCAGTGCAGTACTCAACAAAATGTTACCCCTATCTACTCTAAATCACTGAGAGAAGTCAATGTCTCTGCATAGAATGAGATGGGGTACAAGGCCTCAAATGTTGCAGCTTCTGAGGCTTGTAATTGCTTCACCTTAGAAGTGTGTTGCAAGATGCTGCTATTCTGGCTTAGGAATTAGATCCAGAGGCTGCACAGAGGAACACAAACTTTGTTAGCGTCACAAGGTTTAATAACGTTGTTGCTTCAAGCGCTTCTGGGAATAGCTGCATCGGGGCTTTGTCAACTGATGGCTGTAGATACACAATCTCCCCTTCAGCACAAATATGTTTCCCTTGCTCTCCTGCCAACTCAGAAGCCTGCTTACTGAGGAACCTTATATCAGATTTTCCACCCCATACCCCATTCACATCCATGTCCCCAGCACATTTGCACAAGCTGTGCATGTTCCTCTCCTGCAGAAGGACAGACACATTAAAAGTACATTAGCATGGGTACAAGTACTTTGCCTGCAAACCTCAGAGCTATGATGATCCATGTATAGTATAATAAGAAGAATTTTTTTTGGCTAAAATTAGGAGTTAAAGGGGTCTGATTGAATGGTCATTTGATGTTTTCAAAGAGCTAGAGTTGACGCAAATCAATAAAGCATTATATGATGTGCGAGCCCGAGATACATGTGAGATGTTCATCCCTAAACCATCTTTGTAGCAGTGTCTTTGTCTCATGCAAGACATTGAAAAACAGCTATCAGAGGTGCACGTTCTCCTAGCTGTGATGAAAGGTCAATGAGCAGATGATGCGTGAGCGGCTGAATGCTGTAGCTATTTTTGTTTTAAACTTGAACCCTGGAAATATGTGAGAGCTAGGAGCACCATGGTGCAATTAGAGCTACACTGGCAGCTGTAATGAAGTGACAGACATTGATTGCACATGAGCATCTGACGGAGATGCCTGGCAACTAATCTTGCGTGTGACAATGCTGTGCAGTGGTAACCTTATGAACACATAAGGGCACGAAGCACTGAGTAGACAGTGGCACATACTCTGGCAGATCAAAGCAAGTATCTTATTCTTTTTCAGCACTGAATCCAGATTCTCTAGAGATGCCTCCACAGCCACTTTTGTCCAGGTTATCTTCATCAGTCAGGATAACCTCTTGTTGTCATGCCTCTGGAAAAGCAGGGACTTTCTTTCCTGAACAGCCTTTAGGAGAAACTCTAGAGAGGTGTTACTGAAATGTGGCACTGCTTTATACCAGGTCTCTGACATTTCCCGAAATGGACAGAGATGAAGAGGAGAGGTTCAATGATGCTCCTGGGTTGCAGAAAGTGAAATGCTGTCCAGGTGCCTTTTAAATTTGATATTTAGCATTCGGAGCCTAGAATATCCCTGAAGCAGAACTTTCTGCCCTCTGTCCATCAAAATTTCATTTTACACATACATGAATAGACAATGAGCTTAGAAGATTGTAATTGCACGAGAAAACCTGATCCCCCCGGAGCAGAAGTACCTCCTGCTTCTAGGCCTACCTCTATGCTTAGTCTCAAAATAACAAGATTTCATCTTCGATTTGCTCAACTGAATAGAAAACCTGTACAATTTGCTCTGCAAGTGACATGCAAAACCTCCTTTCCAGGTCCAACCTTCTTCCCCGCCCTCCCCAATAATAAAAAAAAACTGTGAATAGTAATGTTATCAAACAGTCTGGCAAGATTTTCAAAGTGGGCTTAGGAACACAAGACCCAGGTGAATTCTAGTTCTTGAACCTGTTACAATCTCCATAGAAACTGATAACTTTTAAAAATAAATTCAGACTTCCAGTTAATAGCTGAAAGGATAACAGCATAGATTTCATATTTAAGGCTATTACTATAATAAAGCACTAAAAGTTTTATTAAGTAAACTTTGCAAGCAACTTATACAGTATTTTAAGTACACAATTTATAAATATACATTACACAATACCTTAGGTAGATATTAAATTATTTCAGAACAAATCAAAGATGAGTCTTGGATCTCAAGGGTTTACTCCCGTTTTCTTTTCTCAACCTGAAGGGAAGTTTTAATCTCAGAACTGTCTTTTACAGTGGGTTTTTCTTTCTCTGTAGATTATTCCTCTAATGAAAGTTAAGAGAATTCTTCCAGCCTTATTTCAGCTCCTCAATAATTCAGTCTTCTCCATCCTAGCAGGAGCTCCAAGCACATTTCCATACAGAGAACCACACTGTCTTTCTGCCACAGCTGCTATCCCAGATCTTGATAGACTAGCCATGTCCATGAGTTTCAGAGATATCCTAGACCCTTAAACCTAATCAGTCCATTTCTATAGCAACATGAATTTACATGGGCCTTGTACAAAGGTAGATATGATTAGCTGTACTTGAGACTCCCAACTCACTTTTATTCTGAAAGTATATGCAGTTAAAAGCACAATCGTTTACAATACACCATTCTCACACAGGGTACTACCATTCTTTCCAAGTGTAAAAACCTTGCACTTACTTCCCAAAAAAACCTGGGCTTTCGTTTAATCATTTACCAGCCCTCAGCCAGGCAAAAATTTTAGGCAAATATCAGAACAGGTCACATGACATTGGCTTTTAAAAGCCAATTTTACTTTAAACACAGCATATGGTTAAAGTGACATACAAGCTGGCTGAAACATAACTCTAAAATGCCAAGCAGGGAGTCCTTGAGCCACAGAAATCACTGAAACACCTTTATTTTAAAAATGAAAACAGCAGAAAAATTAGAACATTACACAAACACCTATAAGTATTGATACAAAACATGGACAAATTCTTTAGCGTTTAAAACTGTGAAGTGATCACATTTCCTACAACTAATTGAGCAAATTTATGCTACCTACTAATGCAAAGTTTTGTTGCTGCCTTAAAAATTCACAACAAAAGCACGTCAGTGTAAGACTGTGTTTCAATTGTTACATGTGATTTGAGGTAGTGAGGTAGCCTGAAGTAAGCACTGTGTTTCAGTTGATCAGTTACAAAGAAGGTATGTGCCAGTGGCAATGAAGCAGAACAGGAGGTATTTTCCCTGAATGAGAAAGCTGGGTGAGCTCCCTGGTTGCTCCAACTTCATCTTTTATCAATCAGCTCATGAGTAACTTTGCCAAAAGCCTGGGAGCAGGCTGCCTGACATTTTAAATGGCAATTTACCTGGCAAAAAATGGTATGATGCACAGGAAGATCTCAAAATAGGGACAACACCTTTAAAACACATTCAAACTGACATTTGTGCATGTCTTATGGAAAACATCAAGAGTTTCTGTTTGGATGGAGATCGTGCCCTCCTCTTCCATGGGTTAGATTAGCTCTCTTCTAACAGATATAATCATTTCAGGTGGTAAAATGGGATGCGCACTGTCAAGAAGAGAGGCAAAAAGAAAAAGAATCCTGCATTTATATACCACATTACATAACTTCAAGGCATCCTAAATGCTATACAGCTAATGAAGTGTCATTGAAGCATAGAATGGTCACGGCATAGGAAGTCATCATTCAGCCAGTCACATCTATATCAGCTGTCCACAAGAACAACTCAACTAGTCCACACCTTACCTTGTTGTCCCTTAAGTATTTTCTATTCAATAATTATTCCTTTGAAAGCCACAACTGAAAGCCACCACACACTCGGGCAATGCATTCCAAATTCTAACTATTCGCTGCATAGATTTTATAAAGTAAGTAGTTGTTTTAATGTAAGAAGTGTTGAAGTCAATTTGCACACAGCAATATGATAATGACCAATTTTTAGGGTTTGGTTCAGGGTTAAATCTTGACCAGAATAACAGGGAGAACACTCCTACTTTCTTTGAAACAGTGCCTTAAGACCTTTCATGTCCGCCTGGTTGGTTGTTTGAAGAAAAACCTGGCCTCCACTCAGTGACATCCTGCTGTTGTTCCAACAATAGTGTGATGGAGATGAGAACTCACCATGTGAGGAATCACAAGAGTGCAAATGTTAGTCTGATCAAGCTGATTGCACAGTGCATCAGTGCTCTAAGGAACCCTGCTGCTTAGGCTCTTCCAAATAGTTATATGATCAGATAGGTCATTCCCTCACAAAGGAGACTGCACAGTGACTTTAAACTTTTATGTCTCTTGACAAACTAAATAATTTTATATAATGCTGCAGCAGCCTCTGGTGGCAAAATTAAGTGCTACACTTGAAAAACTTACTTAAGCACAGTTGTATTCCAGTAGTATGACGACCGATAATAACCTATTTCTGTTCAGACCTTATGAATCCATTTGTTTTAATTTGATTACTTCGATCACCAAAATATTGCATTTGGAAAATCAAGAGCTTACTATTATCAGAATTTTACTACTGCAATTAAACCACATGACAGCACATCCTGCTTAGAAAAGGATTTTGCCATCAGGCTCCTTAATTCAAATCAAATGGTTACAAAATATTAAATTTTTCATTCTATTATATTCTTTTCTTGATGTACATGCCTCTTATTGGTGCCAGTTGCTTTTAGGAATTTTGTCCAAGTGGCGATTCTTTAAATGTAAGCCATTGCATGTAGGTGCTGACAAGCTATTCTATCATATTGGGAATCTTAAATCACTGGAAAGTAATCAGGGGTAGGAACAATGGCAGATTCTTTTCCTGCACAAATGAGGGATGATGAGGTCAACTGCTGGCCCAGCTGGAGGTCAATTCTTCAAGTATGCTGTAGCAATTAAACCTGGGACCTTTTTGTTGTATGGCTTAGCACCACACCTGGAGTCATCAATGTCTGTTCAATGGGCCCTCTTGTGATCCAGTGGTCAGATCCCTACCCCTAAACCAAAGGACCTGAGTTCAAGTTCCACCTACTCAAGAGGCGTGTAATAAGATCTCTGAACAAAGTGATTCGAAAAATAGGTTAAATAATTTTTTAAAAATCAATATCTGTTCATATTTTTTCATTAAATAGTGACTTCGCTGCTGTTTCTGTCTGCAAAGAATTGTTGGGCCAAGTGTTGCAAGGGTGCTGAATTAACAAGACAGAGCTGGAAATACAAGTTCACTGAAGCAAGTTGCTAATAATGATAATATCGCAATACATTCTCTCAGATCCTTAACCCCTTCAAGCTAGGCAATTTTTCTCAGCCATTTCCCCTAAACCTAAATTGACCTAGCATAGTTAAAATTATGTTTCTATCAATTTGAATGTATACCATATCTTGCAATATACTTTAAATGACTGGCCTTGTCTGCTGCATTGTAATTTGACTAATTTTACCTGGTCTACTGCACACCACACTTTGCATTTTCCGTGGCAGATTTGCATTTTCATTCAGAAAGTTAAACACACGATGGCACTCCAGTTCATCCCAGCCTGCTATAAGAGTCTGCAGGAATGCAGAAAAAAAAATTTAAAAAGGTAAAGCAAAAGTAAGTTTACTTATTTCCACCCTTAATCTACTTCATCGCTTTTTTATCCATCAGAATTCTCCTGATTTCACAATAGAGATGGAGGATTAGTTCTCCAACAAATAACCTCTAAATATCTAAGAGGATGAACTGGAGCTGGTACATTAACTGTCCCTCCAATTTTCTCTTCCACTCAAATCACATCCTCACACATACACTATTAGGCAAAAATCAAAATTTTAAAAATACTGCAATTCAATACTAAGATAAAAGTTAGGGAGGGCATAACATAATTGCAGGTGGGAAATAGAAAAATATTAACTGGTACAGACGGGCACCTCGAGGCACAATATGTGACGAAAACAGTTCATTTATACGTGTTCCATCAACTAGAAAGAACACCCACCACAGTAAAAGGCATAAAAATTAAGTAATCAGAAAGTTATGAACAAATATCACCTTAAGGATATTGGGTATGTACTGATGCACAATTTTAATTGTTTTCATATAGATTAACCTCGTCATTATACCTGCATCATTTTCTTATGTTTCTAAAAGTAAATAACTATACCGTGAAAAGGCATAGCATACTCAAGAATATCCAGCCATTCAGGCAATCTCCCAGCATAACTGACAGGTAACTGACTTTCCAAAGGGACAGTGAGAATGTAAACCTGGTGTTCATTATGATACGCTTCGATTGAGCATTAAAGTTTCCAGGATTAGCTTTCAGAGCTTTCTTATGGTAAGGGCAGAGTCCCCAAGTATGGGTTTGGCTCACTGAAACATCTGAAATCCTATTCATAGTGTTAGATTCACAATAATTCACAGTGGGTACTCATCAGCTCTTACATGATGGTGCTCTGCTCTTCAGATTTATTTGGATTGGTGTGTAGCAAAGGCAAGTGATATGGGATGTTAGTATTGCTCAATACAGATGAGAAGTATTCATTTAAGACCTCATCCACATCGACTGGCTCCTCGCAGAGGATTCCCCTTTGGTCTCTATTAGGTCCCACTCTTTCCCTGATAACCCTCTTACTTTTAACACATTATAAAAGCCTCGTGTTTTCCTTGATCCCATCTGCCAAAGAAATTTTTGGGCCCCTGTTTGCCTACCTAATTTCCTTTTCAAGCAGCCTCTTACACTCTCCATACTTTTGAAGGGCTTTGTTTTTCATGCGGCGTACCTGACATATGCTTCCTTTTTTTCAATCAAACTCTCAACATCCCTTGACATTCAGGGTTACCTGGACATGGTGCCCTAGCCCTTCACCCTTAGAGGAATATGCTGGCCCTGAATTCTCTCTATACTACTTTTAACAGACTTCCACTTTCCAAAATTAGACTTCCCTGCAAGTAGCTGCTCCCAGTCTATATTTGCCAGATCTTATCTCGTGAAATTGCAATCGGCCTTCCCCCAGTTTAGACCCTTAATCTCTGCACTATCCTTATCCCTTTCCATAATGACTTTGAAACATAGAGTTATGGTCACTATCCCCCAAATGCTCACCCAGTGAAACTCCAACCATTTAACCGGTTTCATTCCCAAGGATGAAGTCTAACACTGCCCCATCTTTCGTTGGACTACCTATGTACTGCCACAAAAAGGTCTCCTGGATGCACTTTAAAAATTCAACTCTATTTAATCCTTTCACACTCAAACGATCCCAGATAACGTTAGCAAAGTTGAAGTCCCCTACAACTATAACCCCGTTTCTCTCACACCTTTATCTGATTTGCCTACATATCTGCTCCTCTATTTCCCTCTGATTGTTCGAATCCCAGCAAGGTAATCATATTTTGTTTTGATTTCTAAGCTCAAGTGGCCTCATTTGAAGATCCTTCTGGGACGTGCTCCCTCATTAGAGCAATGATGGTTTCTTTTATCAATAATGCAGTACCTTATTGTGTCTGAAACTTCCATACCCTGGAATGTTGAACTACCAGTCCTGACCTTCCTTCAACCATATCTCAGTGACTGAAACAATATCACACTCATGCGCTGATCAATGTTCATCTGCCTTACCAGTCAAGCTCCTTGCACTAAAATAGATACAATTTCATTTTCTAGACCTCTCATGTGCCAAAATCTGTCCTAGCAATTTGTCTGATTGGATCTTGCTCCTGACTTTACACCTACTCTGTGTGCCCCATGTCACCAAATCCTCCCCAACAGCACGAGCAAACCTCCCAGCAAAGAAATCTGACCCATTTTGATTCAGGTGCAACCCATTCAGCTTGTACGGGTCCCAACTACCCCAGAAACTGTCCCAATAATCCAAAAAATCTAAAGCCCTCCCTCCTACACCATACTTTTAGCCACATGTTCATCTGACCTATCTTCCTATTCCTACACTCAGTAACGTGTCATACTGAAAGTAATCCAGAGATTACAACCTTAGTAGTCTTCCTCTTTAATCCACTATCTAACTTTCTAAATTCCTGCTGTAGGATCTCATTTCATTTTTTACCCACGTCACTGGTATCAACATGTAGCATGGCTGCCAACTGTTCACCCTCTCCCTTCAGTATGCCCTGCAGCCACTCTAAGACATCCCCAACCCTAGCACCAGGGAGGCAACATATCATTCGAGAGTCTCGTTTGCTGCCACAGAACTGCCTGTCAGTTCCCCTTACTATGGAGTCCCTATCACTAAAGCCCTCCCAGTCTTTTCCCTTTCCTGCTGTGCAGCACAGCCAACTGTGGTGCCACCAACTTGGCTGTTGCTACCTTCTCTTGAGAGGCCATCCCCGCAACAGTATCTAAAACAGTGAAAATAAGGGTGAATAAATAATAGTCAATAATTTGGGAAAATACAGGAAGAATAGTTTCAATTCTACAGTCGATCATCACAAACTTTTTAAACATTAAAATTTCACTAAAAACCTTAATGTGACATCTTTACTTATGATTGCCTGAATCTTACCTGTAATAACATCCCAAAACAAGCAAATCCTGAACACTGTATCAGCATAGTACAGCCACCCATCCTGAAGCATGGATTCTGACAAGTAGAAAAAATAAGAAGCATCTTCAAAATTATTAACAGAGGAGCAGAGCGTATAAGAACAAAATAGCCAAGCTAATATTCTGTCAGGACCCTCTCAAAGTTGCCAGTTCTGAAACTGAAGGTTGAGTTTCCCATGAACACAGAGCCTCTAGTTAGTGCAAAAAGCAGAAAGAAAAACAACTTTCTCCTCAAGAGGCTGCAGACACCTGTCTAAAAATGGCAAGATGCAAATTAAAGTTGTCTACACAACAGAATAAAGAAGTTTCACTTTATCCGAGCAGCACCCTCTCTCTCCCACTTGCCTGCAGCCTCCCAATTCTGTCCCAGCCTTTCTTTCACTCTGAGACAAAAAGGGGATTGGCACCTGGTACGGGCCTTCCCCATCCAGCTCTGAGTGCAGGCCTCACCCACTCTGCTCCTGGTGCAGGCCTCCCACCTGACCCCTCTCCCAACACCGGCCTTCATCCCAACGGGCATCAACCTTCACATTGCTTCTCAAGCCCTATGACAGTGGCATATGCACTAATGATGGTGTCATTGTGCACGATACACAGTAGCATAATTGATGTTTGCATGGACACTTCCTGCAGTTTGTCTTGCATCGGCTGGATGATGCCACTGGCAACAGCTAAGCATGTGGGCTGGCCATTCTGCGTTATTGATACTCATTGCAGACAATAAACCACACTGAAACGTCAACTTATCATTTCTCTTTCAGATGCTGATCAGCCTATGGCAAATTTTCTGTTTCATTTAAGATATTTAGAATTGCAAATAAAAAACAGGTTCTTCAGCCATGAAAGTAAGTATTTGAGAGATGATCGTACTGAATTTGCATCTTAATCATATCATTTGACCCAACAGGTCCAATCCTATGTTTATGCTTCACATCATCTTTTCACTCTGCTTCATCCAGCCATATGGTACGTTTTTATATTCCTTTCTCGCTCAAGAATTTACTTTAGCTTCTCCTTCAAGCTATTTATGTTACTCATTTCTATTACTCCATGTCATAGGAAGTTCCGTACTGTCATCACTCTCTAAATAAAGAAGTTTCCCCCAGATTCCTTATTGGACTTCAGAAGTACAGAATAAGAGAAGTGAGAATATAAATTAGAAATATTATTCTAAATTAATTTGTGAGAATAGGACAAATGTTCAAATTAGCAAAATGTAGATTTAGGACTGATATCAGGACATTCTTCTTCACATAAAGGACAGTAAATACATTATCTATACATCTAGTTAAAGTAGAAAAAGCAAAACCCTTGAATCACTTATAAAGCAAATAAGGACAGCATTGGATACTGTATTTCTGAATAGAAAGAAGAGTGTGCTGGTCAGGAAATCTGTCTCACAGCCCTTGATTTTCTATCCATGTAATGAGCAAAAACATATTGGGTATGAATTCTGAACCATCAGGTCAAATAGGCAGGATTCTGGGAAGGGTCAGCTCAGATTGTCCCAGAAGTGTACAAAAGATTTTCTGGAGTGGAGGTGATGTGATTATGGCCTGAACAGCAAGGGGACAAAGAAAGGTGAGTCAAGTGTAAAGCAAAGCTAACCACCCAAATTCAGATTAAATAGCCTGTAAATTCAATGGAGCTAGAGGGAAGGTTTTTGAATGGCAATAAAAACAAAATGTAGACTTTTATGTATGTAAGCATTTGAGGTGGGGTGTGATTTGTAGTCACGGCTTTCAGTTACATGGCTTCCCTACCAGAAATTTTTGACATTGTTCACTTTGGACAGCTTTCATTTGGTATTAAAAGCAAGTTTTCAGGCTTCACTTGATCTCATGAGCACGAAAATGCAATCTTTCAGCTATCAGTTGCACTAAAGACCTATAAATTGACATCGCTACTGGTTATCAACTGACATTATTGCAATTAACCGGCATTAAATATATCACAGCATTCAAGTATTTGAAGGTTACCATCATTTTGCTTCCTCAATGCTATTAGGTGACTGAATGAGAAAATTTGATAAAGTCACAATGCAGTGTGGCATGCGACCTTCACCATCTTCCTAGTCCTGCAGGAGAAGTAGTTGAGTCTTATAAATTCTCGCATATTTTTATTTCTTTATGAGTCATTGAGACATTATGTAACAGCCAACAGCATCTGATGATTGCTTAGTAACATTTTATTTCAAAAGTCAATCCCGGGTTACATTATAGTGATGCTCACAATATTACAACATAGAGTATGAGATAATTAAAGTATTCGATTTACCTATGTACATAGTAGAAGTAAAATTCAGTGCAGCCCCCATTTAGAAAAAATTGTGGGTTATATATATATTAAATAACACTTCAAACCCACCTAAAAATAGACATGATATACAAACAAATAAATTTAGACGAAAATCAAACAAGTGAAATCAGTATCAAAGCATGCCAGGAAGGTTTGAAAGGTCAAACAAACTGACATTTATTGTTCTGAGGAAGGGTCACCCAACCCGAAACGTTAACTCTGATTTCTCTCCACAGATGCTGCCAGACCTGCTGAGCTTTTTCAGCAATTTCTGCTTTTGTTTTAGAAATTTCTTGTGGCTTCTTCTTCATATTCAAGGTGACAATTTCAAGGTGAATATTTGATAGCTGCACAAAATTTAATGAGGCCAGCTGTCTTGATACATTTTTAATCATTTTAACATGATTAAGGGGCAAAAATACAACTTCAAGATCCAGCCCGCTGTCGCTGGCCATGCCAATACTAACATAGTCCCTGACCCATGACAATGCTGACATGCAAACAAATATCTTTTGTGGACTAAATAGGGATTGCTGCAAGCTGAGCAGATTTCACACTAAATACATCTCTGAAATGTAATTCCTGTTAAAGGATCATTACAACATTTGTCGTCTGAACATCAGGCAACAGGTAATCTCCTCACCACACCAACATATGCACAACCACAGTTACAATCTCAGATCATGAACAGTACATTTCAGAAATAATTCCTTACAGGAAAAATTTCCATCTTTCAAAAAAACAATTGATGAAATCCCATTTTCTCTGCAGACGATCAAAAACCGGACACAAGCAAGCCATGGATCTTGGTACAAAGGAAAGATAACAGGGTTTTTGGCACCAACCCTCCATTTCCCACACAAGATAAAAGTTCATTCTGACTTACTAATGTCATAGATATCCTCTGCAATGGTGAGCAATGGCAGAATCACTTTGATGCTTGACACTTCAATTTTGAAAGTGATTGTAGAAGATACAGCTTAAAATCAAAGGGCAATCACATACCAAATTTAGGTGTGACAGCATTTGTAATCTGCATCACAGGCTTGTCAGCTGAATGGACAAATCTCAGCAACTTTCCAATAAGCTATTTGAAAGAAAATCAGCTGTTACCCTAAAGCCTTAACTATATCAACTGAATATAATAACTGGTGCACATTTATATTCATTTATTAATCAATGTAAAAGACAATTTATAGAACTTTGCAGTTGTGAATGATCACCGATCGATACTGCAGAAGTTCAGCATTTTCTATCCTCTTCCCTGCTTAGTGTATAAATATCTATTACTAGAAAAAGGTGGTGGCTGGTAGAAATCATCAGGTAGAATGCCGGCAATTGCATATTGAAGGATTTCTCTGTGATTCCTGCAAGATCAATCAACACTGTCAGTGTCAATTGGAAATACCCTGGTATAACCCCTACCAGCTTCTACAATTTGTCCCATCTGTCTGCAATTAGGACAATTAAACTCTTCATTAAAATGTGTCACATTCATGACACAATCTTTTGTGGGTAAATTGCAGGTTTCACACATGGGGAATGTCTTTATATTGATTACTCCTCTGCAATGATCACAGCTAACATTAGAATCAAGAGTGTACAGTTTTTGAGGTGTCTCAAAACATAGCTTTAGGTGACAATTAACAACAGTTTTGTTTTGTGAAACTATCAACAGTGACATTGCCCAAGCTCATTATCTTAGCTCTAGGGAGTCCATTGACAGCAAAGTAAATAACTAATAAGGTTTCTGCTAGACTTATAGAGCTGTCCCTCATCAAATACCACATGTAAGAAATGTGATTAGGATTGGACAAGAATTCCCCAGGCTCGAAATGTTGCTTGTACAGAGTGCCATCATAAATATCACTTATGGCATTTGATCCTCTTTGTTTGCCGAGCAGTTAATCTATGCAGGAGATCCTGAGAAAAATGGTCCCCTCAAATAGGTCCTACAGCTGTTCTTTAACTGGGATTTCAATAAAGAGAATGGCAGGTGCTGTCCTTTATCACCCTCACACAGCTCAGATTTGTGCACCTACTAATATCACTGTGGTCACTTATGTACATGTAACAATGATCACAAAACCAATGAATCTTGAGTGGAGATTTCAGTCCAGTGAGTCTGTTTCTGTGCTGTATGATTCCATGACTCTATAAATGGTTCTGTAACAGGTACAGAAATGTATCATAAGATTTGAGGAAGGACTGTGCAACTTCAATAAGACAAATCACCAATACATTTCCCAGAAAGTCTGTGCCTGAGTGCAATGGGTAATTTTAAAAATGCACTTTCCAAGTAAGTAAGTAGGGGCACCTGCATAGAGAGGCAGGTTGTCTTCAGCAATTGCACGATTAGGAAAACCTCCATCTCCTGTTTCCAGTTCCTCTTCTAGCAAAGGGGAGATGTCTCATATTCCACTGAAATCATCTTCAGTGTTGACTACTGCAAAAGAAATGGCTGAGTGTAAGCACATGAACACATGCTGAAGAGAAATTGTATAGATCATCAACAGCAATGTTTCAGTAGGAGTCATGGTTAAATTGGCACAGATTGTACTCAAGAACAAAATCTTGTGCCCCATAAATTACTTGTGATATGCTTTCCAGTTCAGCGACTCACCTTCTTACCAATTAAGCTGTGCTGTGATCACAAATAAAATATGGAACGATTTTAGCTTAACTAAATGGCAGCAAACCAGTGTACGGTGACAGTCTTACATTGTTCCTAGCAAAATA